GTTTAATAAATCATTTGTCATTTGCCACTTGTATGCAACTGGAACCTGAAGGGCCCAGCCCTGCTTCTCTCCACCTGGCTTGGGGAAGGGCCTGACAGGCTCCATCAAGGAGTGCTGCTGCTGCTGCTGCTGCTGCTGCTGCTGGACAGAGAGGGCTCCGTTTTTGTTTGTTTGGTTTTTTAAAAAAATGGCTTTTATGTTTTATCTATGTCATTTTAAATTGTGATTGCTATTAATGCTATATTCTTAGTTTTAGATTTTATGATTTGCGTTGAAATTGCTTTCCATTCGGTTGTGTTCTTTTGAAGTGTTTTATTTATTGTTTATGACTTTTGTTATGCTGGTAATTGTGTAAATCTTGTCATATTGTAAGCCGCCTTGAGCACTGCTTTAACTATGGAAAGGTGGCATACAAATAAATGATGATGATGATATTCCCAGGATTGATTTCCTATCTGGACATAGAAGGAATGAGCAAACAGTGGTAACTTCTGCTCCCATTTCTGTTTTTAGCAGAATTGCAATTGAACTTATCGTCATGAGACATGAAAAGAGCTAAGACATCTGCACATAAAAGAACAATTTAAAAGCAGTAAAACACATTATTTCAACTTTTACATTCCTTCGGAAAATGTTTCTTACACATCAAACTTATGCAGGCATCTTAGAATACATAAATGTTTATGTAAAATCTAATTTCTGATTTTAATTTTTATATGTTTCTTATTGTATCGTTTAATGTATAATTTTTGTAAAGGGATGGAACTTTTTAATGAACATTTGTATATTTTACACACACACACACACACACACACACACACACTGCTAAATCTGAGTGCTTCATTCCTCTGAAAATATATTTTTTAAAAAAAAAAATATTTATTACTTTTAAACCTTACAAAAAGGAGAAAAGAAAAGAAGAAGAAGAAAAGAAAAGCAAAAAAGACAACAAAAAACAATACAATACAATATAACACATTAAACAGAACAAGAGCAAAAACAATTCAAAAACACGCATCATACCATCTCAATATCCTCTCTTTCATTCCCTTGTTTCATCGACCTCCTCTCACCTCCCTTTTTGTATTTCATTTCTATTAATTATTTCAGCAAATCCTTTCCATCTTTCTCTATTTTCTGTCATGTGATTATCTTAACATATTTTAACCTTATTTTCCATTAATACTATAATACTTATTTATGCTTAATTCCTTAAAACATTTGTGCTAAAGCCATATAATTCCCTCCCAACATTTTTCTAACACTCATTAATTTTACATTATTTCCATATATAAATTTTAAACTTTTTCCAATATTCTTCCACCGTCTCTTCTCCCTGGTCTCGGATTCTGCCAGTCATTTCCGTCAATTCCATATAGTCCATCAACCTGGTGATCTTCTGTCCGAGGCTCTTAACTCTTTTCCAAGTCCCTTCTGCAAGTCTTCTTCATATTTATACATGCACTTTACTGTGTCTTCTCCTGATCTTGTTCTTATTTTCCTTCCTTTTATGCTGAAAAGTAGATCTCAGGAAATTCCCATCTAGCAATGTTCTTATTCCTTCTCGACAAGTCAGCCAAATCTCCATAGTTAAAACTGAAATTCAAAAGATATTTCCAGTCGTATTTCAAAGTTCCTCCAAGTCTGGCGGTCCCCACAACTCCAGTCTCCTCCTGACCCAAGTCCAGGTCCCAAAGGTCAATAAATCCCTGCATGAAGGGATCTATCCAACTTTCCTTCTTCAGTCCAAGCGGGGCTCCAATCCTCAAAGTCTGTCTGTCTCTATATTCCAGTCTTAAAAGGCATCAACTTATAGTCATCAAATTGCATCTGTAAGGCTGGGGCTCTCTCCCTCTCCACTTGTGCAGTTTTAGGTTCCACAACAACCACTTTCTCCCCGCCTTCTCCTCAAGTTGCCATGTCAAAATAGATCCCTGTATCGATTCCTGAGTAATTTCTGTATTACTATTCACTTTTTGTCCCAAATTAGTCACTTTTTGTTCCAAGTTATCAATTTTTATAGTCCTCGCATCCATCTTCTTATGAAGCTGTTCCAGTGAATCATTAATCTTACATAATGCAACTACTAAGGCTTCTTCTGTCAACATTCTTAACGATCCAAGGTCAATCCCAAATTCTCACAGTCTTATCTTGCAGGTGAAAATTTCCCTAGCTCAGCTCATGTAACAATTTCAAAAGCTTCCTCTAGGGGGAAACAATTTCTATTTGTATCAATCATTTTAAGCACAGTTCAAAAATAAAGTTAGTTTTGATTTTCAATTACTTTTACTCCTTTTTAAACGCAGAAGGAGACAATGGAAACAATGTATTTCTCTTCTTTAACTTACTGTCAACAAATGATCTATTCACAGTCAATGAGCATATCCAAAACTTCAGTCTTACTGGCAGCCCGTTTCCAGGTTCAGAGCAGTGGTAATTTAACTCTCTTCACTCTCTCCTGCAGGCTTACACGATCTAAAATTTTCCCCCTCTTCTCCTGCTTTCAAGGGGGGTTTGATAATTTAGCCGCTGGAAGTTTAATCCTTTATGAAAGGCTTTCCAAGACTTTAGCTTGCAGCCTCTTTGCTTCAGTCTATATACAAAGGGAAGGCGGACTTCCTGTTTGAAACCTCCCGTTTCGATGCCAAATTAAGACGTTTAAAAATCCAATTTTCCGTTCTACTCACGGGTAGTTGTTTTAAGATCAAATTGTCCACAGGAAAAAGTCAGCGCTCTCCGGCAACAGCAATGCGGCTTCACTCCGTGAAAGAAGCAGTCAATTCGAAGCACCGCGCCACTCACCCCACGTCGCTCCGGATCCCTGAAACCAGGTTTCCCCACAAGTAGGGGAGGCGCAAAAGGTGCCAGCCAAATCCCACGTTCACAGGCTTCTCCCGCCTGTGATTTTTTGTGGGTCCCCGCCTTCGCCGTGGCGGCCAGACCCTAATTTCCACGAAGCAAATTCCTCCCGATCAGAGGAGTTCAGCCATTACCGGAGGTGCTAACCCGGAAGTCATTCCTCTGAAAATAAGACACACTTGAACAAAATGGTTTGCTGTTCTGAATAGAAATACATAGGTTAGAATGGGAATGTGTCAGATATTTTCCTATTGGAATCAATGGGATGTTGAAAGTCACAATTAATTAGTCTCATGGATTCTGATATGAACTAACTGTAAGGAAATTATGGTGCATTCAAGATGATTGAAGGAATCCAACACGATGTCCTGATGTTACAGGCATGAAGTCGCAAAGAGCCGAGGGTGGAGTGAAAGTGTAGGTTTTTTTGGGGGGGAACTGTCTTGGTACCTAGGACTCTGCTCATATGGTGCAGTCCTACAAATAAACACCAACAGCTGTCTTATGCAGAGTCATACTATTAGTTAATCTAGCTCAGTATAATAAACAGTAATGGGTAGCAGTTTCCCAGAGTTTCTAGCACAGCAACATTCCCAGATCTAGCTGGAGATGTCAACTATTGGACCTGGGATCATCTAAAAGAAAAACAGATGATCCACCAAACTGTCGCAGAGCAGCAACCCACCCACAACTGTCTACTAAGAGGTAAGCCCCACAGAGTTCAATGGAACTTATTTCCTGATAAGTATAAGATTGTCACACACATTCTTTATTATAGTCCAAAGACCGACAAAAGTGAATTTGAAAGCAAACTACAGCAGAAATTCAGGAAAGACAATACTAGGCAGTCACTGTGCTTAGGGTTCTAGGTTTCATGGTCCAGGACAAACTTGGTATAAGAATTGCTCACATACCAAAGAGCTGTGGGTTATGTTCTGTTTTTTCAATCAAGTCAGGTGAAAAGTACAAGCAACAGATTTACTACAGATTTTTCAACTATACAGAATGCAAATGACTTTATGAAAAATCAATGTTATTTGGATTGTTTGGTGTTTCTTAGCTTAGAAAGAGAAGAGAAAATAATCTCATTTCAAAATATATTTTAATTTAAGACAGAAATGATCCATATTATAATATGTTGATTCCATACACTATATAATTTACACTTGAATTCATTTGCAGTGTGGTGACGAAATTCTACCAGCACACCCTTGCCTTGGCATTTGCTGTAAAAGAGATAAATGACAGCCCCAAGATCTTGCCCAATCTCACCCTTGGATTTCACATCTATGATAGTTATTATGATGCAAGGATGACGTATCGGACAACTCTGGACCTACTTTTCAAATCGAATAGATTTATCCCCAACTATACATGTGACATGGAGAAAAACCTCATAGCCATCATTGGAGGACTTAGCTCTGATACCTCCTTCTATATGGCTGACACCATAGGCCTCTACAAGATTCCTCAGGTAGCAGCTTTGAATGGGAACAGGGATTTGGATTTTCACAATGTACACTCTTCCATTGCTTATAATCCAGACTGGCCATAAAGCTCAATTGGAAAACATCTTTGAAACATCAGCAGCAAAATACAGGAGTAATCTTATTAGCTGGGATTCAATTTAGAATGATACTACTACTAGTAGTAGTAATAAATTTTATTTATACCCCACCCTCCCAAGCCAAGGCTGGGCTCAGGGCTGCTAACACAAGGTATAAAAACTATTGATTGAAATACAACTTAAAAACAAGATTAAAATACAACATTAAAATGCAGCCTCATTTCAGTAGGAACTCAAATCAAAAATCTTTTGGGGATGAAAATGTCAAGTCTTCACCAAGGCCAATAGTAATTATAATGATGAGAATGACAATGAAAAGAATAATAGACCTTAAGAAAAAGACTGTAAACTGAGGAACTAGTTTTAGAAATCAGTGCTGAAATTTCAGAACATTTATAGTATGAGGGATGAAGAAAAATTACCAGAATTTTTTATTTAAAAAATCACAATAACTCTAGAAAACTTAGCTGGAACAGGAAAGTTGTGACTTGCATTTGTTGAAGGAATAGGCACATGCTGAAAATGAAGGTTTATCTTAATGTTAACTCCATCATGCCTGTACACTTCCTTTTAGCTCACATATGGATGTTTTCCCCCAGAGGAGAGTGATGCAGATCAGTTCCCTTCCTTTTTCCGCATGGTACCCAATGACAGCCATCAATATATGGGGATCATCAGCTTACTAAAGCATTTTGGATGGAAATGGGTTGGACTTTTTGTTGTGGAAGGTGACAGTGGAGAAAAATTCTTGCAGACCCTGGAACCATTCCTTTCCGAGCATGGAATCTGTTCAGCCTTCACACAAAAAATACCACAAGTAGCCCATTTAGATGAGCTGAGTGTAACAATTGGTGCGTTCTTCAATATTTTTCTGTCTTTAACAGATGATAAAGTCAATGTATGTATAATCTTTGGAGAATCTTTAGCTCTTGCATGGATAAGAATTGTTATATTTCTACGAGATCCTGAAAATAAGGAAAGTTCATCATTTAGGAAGGTTTGGATCATAACCACGCAGATTGATGTCGTATTAATAGGTATTCAAAGGTTTTTGGATTTTGAGCTCTTTCAAGGATCCATTTTCTTCACAATTCACACAGAAGAGCTTCTAGGGTTCAACACGTTTCTTCAGAATATAAAGCCTGATAGAATAGACAGAGATGGTTTCCTCAAGGACGTCTGGGAGCAAGCATTTGACTGTACATTGCCAACCCCCAGTGTGCCTTTAGATAGTAACGAACATTGTACTGGGGAAGAGAGACTGAAGAGCCTTCCGGGGGCGCTGTTTGAAATGGGCATGACTGGCCACAGCTACAGTATCTACAATGCTGTCTATGTTGTGGCTCATGCTTTGCATGCCATTGTCTCAACTAGATTGAAGCAGAAGACTTTAATGGCAGGTGGAAAGTTGGATCTTCAAGACTGGCAACCTCTGAAGGTAATATATTGAAATCAAATTCTTCTTAATTCAGTGGGTTGAATATTCCAAGGAGGGGGGGTATCAACCAGTCCCTGACGAAATGGCATTATACCTTTATTCACTGAGACCATTAGAATCCTTTAGTCATAGAGGTTTAGAGATGGAAGGACCCCAAGGCTCATCTACTCCAATCCCAGCAATGTAGGAATGTATGTGGTTTATGTTTACATCATCTCATGGCAAGGCAGCAAGACAAACCTGAGATCTGCTGGGATGAGGGTTTATTGGAATCCTTAGCTCTCAGGCTGATCCATCTGATGTTTCCCATCCCAGCAATACAGAAGATACTCTGATTATGTCTTCCATCCCAGGTTAACCGTGTTTCAGCTGACTGAGTCAAGGATTTGAGAGGTTATAAAGAGGGGGAGTTGGGGGGAGGGCAGGGTGAAAATTATCCCAATTCTAAAACCTTTTCAGCTCATACACATGACCCATAAACCCAGAAAACCCATTCTAGGGGGAAGGGGTTGTATGAGCCAAACTCTGAATTAAAGGCCTTTTGCCCTCACCTAAGCTTGTACATCTAGCAACAGTGGGGACTTTCCAAATCACAGCATTATGTTAAATTTCATATCAATTGTAACCTCTTTATGTTATGTTTCAATTAGCTGCAACCTTTTCTTCGTGGCATTATATTTAACAACTCTGCAGGAGAAACAGTGAGTTTCAATGGTAAAAATGAAATGGAAGGTGCATTTGACATAATGAACATAGTCACATTCCCAAACAAGTCTTTCCTTCGAGTGAAAGTTGGACAGGTGGACAATGACGCTCTTGAAGCAAGAAGAATCATCATTCATGAGGACATGATTAAATGGCACAAGGGTTTCAACCAGGTATGGGTCCTGGAGGGTTATTATGAGCCCTCCAAGCTCTGTCCCTATGGTAAGAGTCCAAAGCTCATCTGAATAACAAAATAGTTGAAATGTAATGGTCCCATGATCAATCGTCTGCATCTCCAAGTAGGGCTTGAAAATAACTATAGTCTGTTGTCATAAAGGGCAATTTCTTTTGCGTTTTCTTAGGGATTTTCGCTCTACTTTTGTAATATAGGTTTATAGTTTAAGTTTCTTGGAAGTGTTTATTTCCCATTCCTGGGCAAAAATTAAATAAAGTGAAGATATTACATAATATTTTTCTGTAGGGGCATTTCTCCTATCTGAATTTTCTTTCCCATTATGAATAGGTGGTACCTGTTTCTCTCTGCAATAACTGCTGTCCCCCTGGTCATCAGAAGAAAAGGAAGGAAGGGGAGAAATTTTGCTGCTATGATTGTGCTCCATGTCCAGAAGGGAAGATTTCAGACCAGAAGGGTTTGTGACATAGAATTCATTTCTATTTTCATCAGAGAGATTGTTTGTTGCTGAAGTTATACAGTACTTAGTAGATGAATGTTAATGCTCCTGATAGTGGTCCTGATGATCATCATGAAGATTTTGACAAATTTCTGCCTTTAAGAGGTGAAATCAAAGTGTGATTATGAGTAGTAGGTGCTGGGTCTGAGAGTTAAGTTTCTCCTTAATTCCCTCTGCAACATTTGCTATGTTTGGGAGGAAAGTTAAGCCCCTCTGTATCAACAGTGAGAAGTTTCACATAAGCTTAAAGTTGTATGGCTAGAGACACAGGTAGTTCAAGATAGGCAATAGTGAGGTGGTGATATACCAGGGCTTGATTGACTACTGGTCAATCTCTAAAAGGCATCACATAAGGAAAATTATGCCTTTGCAGTAATCTAACCTAGACATTTCCAGAGCATAGAGAACAGAAGTTAGGCTATCCCTGTTCAGATGGAGCCATAAGCCAAAGCTTAGGCAGTGTAAGCCAGCCAAGAGCAGGCAGTCTCTCATCAATCTCTGGTCTAGGGAACTGCCCACTAACAATACATCAGTCTTATTTTGCTTCATTTTGTAAGATAAGTATAATAATTAATAAAAGAATTAGGTATGTGGTCACAGCCAGCCAAAAGAGGTTCAGAAGTTGGATCATCTGTTCCATAATACCATACAATAAGCCTAATCATAAAATTGTAGAGTTGGAAGGGACCCCAAAAGTCATCTAGTCCAACCACCTGCAATGCAGAAATATCAGCTAAGGCATGCATTACATATGACCATCCAACTTCTGCCTAAAACCTCCAAAGGAGAGTCCACAACCATTTGAGGGAAATTGTTCCCCTTTCGAAAAGCTCTCAGAAAGTTTTTATGTATGTTTAGTCGGAATCTACTTTCTTCTTTCCTAAGAATAATTGTTATACAGTAAGCCCACAAGTTATGTGAGTTACATGCTGGGGAATCACACCTAAAACAAAAAATGGTGTGTGGTTAATACACATTGGGTTCCATGGTGGGAGGCATTGCCAAAGCCTTTATTCCCAGACGCACTCTCCCTTTCCTCCTATTTTATTTCTTTTATTATTTATTAATTTGCTTGCCAAGCGAGTAAAGCTGAATGCACACAACTTAAATGTGTTTGGGGCTTATTGCAATACTAAAGTGCATTTTTTATTTTATCCCAGGTCATTAAGAATGTTCAGGTTGAACTCCCAAAATGGTCATATGGGAGACAGAGGATGAATATGAATTACATTTGGAATTTGACCTGTTTCTGTTTTTCAGATATGGATGATTGTTTCAGATGCCCAGAAGACCAATATCCAAACATGGACAAACATGGTTGCCTCTCCAAAACTATAACCTTTCTTTCTTATGAAGAACCACTGGGGATCAGCTTAGCCTCAATAGCTCTTTCTTTCTCCATTGTCACAACTTTAGTGTTATTAGCTTTTGTGAAGCACAGAGATACACCCATTGTCAAAGCCAACAACCGAGATCTCACCTACACTCTCCTCATCTCTCTTCTGCTCTGCTTTCAATCTTCTTTGCTATTCATTGGCAAACCAGGGGAAATGGCCTGCTTCCTCAGACAACCTACTTTTGGTATCATCTTCTCTGTGGCTGTTTCTTGTGTGCTGGCCAAAACCATTACCGTAGTTGTAGCTTTCATGGCCACCAAACCAGGGTCCAGCCTGAGGAAGTGGGTGGGGAAAAGACTGGCCAACTCCATTGTCCTTTCCTGCTCTTTGACTCAAGCAAGTCTGTGTACTCTCTGGTTGGCAACTTCACCCCCCATTCCCAGAATTAGACATGCACTCACTAATGGAAGAAATCACTGTGCAATGTAATGAAGGGTCCGTGACCTTGTTTTCCTGTGTCCTGGGCTACATGGGCCTCCTGGCTTTCTTCAGCTTCCTGGCAGCTTTCCTGGCCCGCAAATTACCTGATACTTTCAATGAAGCCAAGTTCATTACCTTCAGTATGTTGCTGTTTTGCAGTGTTTGGCTGTGCTTTGTCCCAACCTACCTGAGCACCAAAGGGAAGTACATGGTGATGGTGGAGATCTTCTCCATCTTGGCCTCCAGTGCTGGGTTACTGGGATGCATCTTTGCCCCGAAATGCTACATTATCATGCTGAGGCCCGAGCTCAACAACAAAGAACAACTAATAAGGAGAAAGAATTAATGTATCACATAGTTTTGCCACCATTATATTATAAATGAAGGGTAAGGTTTATGCACAGGTCATTTATACTATTTACACAAGTTCAATTAAAATGATTTACACGTCTCCTCACACAGTTTTTATTGCTTCTCCAAATCCTGCTTATTCCCCTCACCTCATATCTCTCAGCTAACTGCCACCATCCCTGTGAAAGATAGGACCTATTTAAATATGCTAATTAGAGCAGAGCAGCTGTTTTCTATGAAATGAGAACTTGGTACACTAATGTGTAATAAAGCTTCCATTTACTTAGCATACGATTTGAATCCCCTCAACGGGGTGAGCTCCTGTTGCTCGGTCCCAGCTCCTGCCAACCTAGCAGTTCAAAAGCACGCCAAAAAGTGCAAGAAGAGAAATAGGTACCACTCAGGCAGGAAGATAAACGGAATTTCCTTGCGCTGCTCTGGTTTTGGTGTTCCGTTGCACCAGAAGCGGCTTAGTCATGCTGGCCACATGACCCAGAAAAACTGTGGACAAATGCTGGCTCCCTTGGCCTTTAAAGCGAGATGAGCGCTGCAACCCCAGAGTCATCTGCAACTGGACTTAACTGTCAGGGGTCCTTTACCTTTACCTTTTTTATATGAAAACAGTAAGCAAAATAATATAAACTGAAAATGATGAAAAAGAAAGGAAAAAGAAAGAAGGAAGCAGAGGAAAGCTGAGCTCCACAGCAGATCAACGGAGAAGCAGTGCCTGGCAAGGGTTTTCTAAACAGGAATGTGTTCTGATGATTTGCTGTATTGAGTCAAGCTACAGATTAGATTGAGATGATTCCCTTTGTTTCTTTGCTCCCTTTAGTTTATTGAGACCTGGTTTAGAACTGACAAAACTTTGTTGTCCCAAATTACAGATTCACAGGACAATTCATATATGAGGAATTCTTGCTCAGAGGAAGAGGAAATACTTGTACTGCTACAAACTTGAAGTGCAATTTATTATCTTGAAAATGATATAGAGTGGCCCTCAACATCATTATGGAACACTGTTATACCTGAATATAACACTAGCATGACAACCCAAATTTATTTTGTGATATGTTCTTTATTTTTAACTTGCAACATATCATGACTATACAAATTAATTAGAGCTAGTCTTGGAGTAATGAGGTCTGTTTACTTTATAATTAAAGATATTTCTGTAAATACATTTCCTAAAACCTTTCTATTTTTTTGTCATGCCCATCACTTGTGTTGATACGCCCCTAATATAGGTCCCTACCGAACATGTTGGTTACCAAAGTTTCACTCTGAGTTAAATTCCTCTAGGAATTAGCTACATAATTATATTTGGTTCACTTGGTTAAAGCTCAAGAGAATTTCTGGTAGGCACTTGAAAAGAGTCAATAATCCACCCTGGAAGTGGATGTAATAAATTACTCTTTTTGCCACAGACAGCTGGCCATAGGGGCAAGAGGCAGGAAGCACCATTCCACTTTTATTGATGATTTTTCCCCTTCTTGATATTATTGGCCAGACTTTAAATGAGTGTTGACAATCTATTCATCAAGGCATGCATATGTCAGACTTCTAAAATGGAGCACACAAATCACTCTTCTAGGGTTACCACTATTTCTATTGGCAGAGCAGGGCATCATCAAAACCAGCCAATTCCTCTTAAAAGAAGCCTAGGCAGAAAGCACACAAACTATAAAACAACTGAAATACCTGAAAACAAATAAAAATAATTTAAGTATACTTGCAGACTGAGAAACATCTCAGCTTAAGGGGCTTGTTGCAAGAGGATAAAAGCTACACTGCAAGGATGTTGTGGCTATTGTTGTTCCTATTTCTGCAAATGCCCGTTGTGTGCAGAGCAGGTGCATTCAGGTGTCCAATGAGATATCCATTTCCTATTCCGATTAGACAGTACCAACCAGGGGGCTTCATCATTGGTGGAATTACTTCTCAGATATTTCATGTATTCTATGAAGTTTTCTTCAGAGAACACCCTTCACAGAATCTGTTTGACGTTTCATAGTAAGAGTCTCCTCTCTACCCTACATCTCTCTGAAATCTCTTTCCTTTTGTGCTATGTTCTTAACGGTTATGTTCTTGATGGTTGCAACTGTGCATTGACATATATAAACTGGGCTAGATTTTTAATATTTGCTTTTTTTCTATTATATTTTAACGTTTTAATTTGGAATGCCATCGAAATCAAACTGTGATTCAATAAAATACATAGAACATAAAAAGTAAACAAACCAATAGGATACAATTAAAAATCAATATGATTTTTTAATGTAAACGTGCTGTGGACCACCCTGAATGAATCTTGTGGATCACTGGAAACCTAGATTTAAACGCTTGACAAAAAAAATTCACATGTTACAGTAAAGTGCATACAAAAATACATCATGTAAGAGAATATTGCAAAAAAAGTGGATATACAGAAATATGTATATTAGGCAAAATTTCATTCAGCAAGTGTACATTGGGCTGGAGCCTTATGTGCAATGGGGCCTTATGCTTTGTGTTTTTTTAAAAAAATGTCTGATTTGAAAATGTGAAGAACTGAAATTCAGCTTGGAAATATAAGAAACCAAGATAAAACAAAATTGGCAGAATCATCCATACCTAGTCATATACCTTCAACATATCCACATCTGCCCACTTAGAGAGAAGTCCCATTGATTTCAGCTGAGGTTATTTCAAGGTAACTGACCTCCACAACAGGTCTGGAGGATGGTAACATGAGAAAGGGCCTTTTCTGCAGTGGCTCCCTGTCTGTGGGGTGCTCTGTCCAGGGAGGTTTGCCTGGTACCTTCATTATAAACCTTTAGGCACCACAGAAAAATGTTCCTCTTTAACCAGGCCTTTGTTTGTTTGATTTCCTATTTCCTTTTAAAATGGGGGGGGGGGGTATTGTGTTTTCTATGATTTGAAAAAGGTTGAAGAAGAGATGAAATTTGGATGTGTCAAAGGTCCATGCAGTACATAGGTGCCCTGATGAATCACTGTGTGTTCTCTATTAACTTAGAAATATGAATTAAAACTAGAATATCTTCATTTCAGTCAAAATCTATTTGAGACAGAAATAGTCCAAATTGCTGTAAATTGATTTTATGCATTGTAGAATTCTTCACTGAAACTGTAAATTAATCAGCTTTTTTTTTTTTTTTTGCAGTATGGTAATAAAATTCTACCAGCACCTCTTTGCCTTGGCATTTGCTGTGAAGGAGATCAATGAGAACCCCACAATCTTGCCCAATATCACTCTTGGGTTCCACATCTATGATAGCTATCATGAAGCGAGAGCGACCTATCGTGCCACATTAGACCTGCTCTTCAAATCAGATAGACTTGTGCCCAACTATAAATGTGACACCCAGAAAACCCTCATAGCCATCATTGGGGGACTTAGCTATGATACTTCCTTCCATATAAGAGACAATATAGGCCTCTACAAGATTCCACAGGTAAGATCTATGAACAGCAGGGGACATAGTTATTTAGGGGGTGAATAGACTCCTGATCTTCCTTGTGGACCCATATCATGAAAGAAGGATGATAAAAACAAAATAGTTAGGAAAGGCTATTGCTAACTACCTAGCAGTTAGTTCCTGCAGTGGAAAATTGAAGAAGCAGAGCAAGCACCATAATTTGAATGTTTCCAAGGGGCAAAGGTGGGTAGCTAGAAACAACCCTCCCAGGATGTTATTATTGCTGTGATTCCAAACTTGATAAAGTGTGGATAATTAATACTTAGTCCATTAAGCAATATATAAATTCCCACAAAAGGTCTCATATAATTGATGAAATATTTTTTGAAAAATATTGAACATATTGACATAGCTGTAGAGAATTAACTGAAAAGTCATCGCTCATTATGCATTTCTATAATGCAAGTGCAATTTCTTTTAGCTCACTTATGGTTCATTTCCCACTGAGGATGAGAGTGATCAAAGTCATATCTCTTCTTTCTACCGCATGGTTCCTAATGAAGCCCATCAATACATGGGGATCATCAGCTTGCTTAAGTATTTTGGATGGACATGGGTTGGACTCTTTGTTGTGGATGATGAAGGTGGACAAAATTTCTTGCAGACCATGGAATCATTGTTATCCAAAAATGGAATCTGTTTTGCCTTCACACAAAGACTCCCGAAACTACCCCGTTATGATAACTTAGCTGAAGTTTATGGTGTACTAATAAATAGTTACGTGAAAGTCACAGATGACAAAGCCAACACATTTATCATCTATGGAGAATCTATGACACTCATATGGCTAACAGCTATTTTCTTTCTACAAAATACTGAAATAAATGACATTGCATCAGTTACAAAAGTTTGGATCATAACAACTCAGATTGATTTCATATTGTTGAGGTTGCAAAGGAGTTGGGATCTTGGTCTCTTCCAAGGCGCCATTTGCTTCACAATTCACTCAAAAAAGGTTCCAGGGTTCCAGGAGTTTCTTCAGAGCATAAAACATGATGGGATAAAAGGAAATGGTTTTCTGAAGGACTTCTGGGAGCAAGCATTTGACTGTGATTTTCCAAAATCCACTATGCCAATGGACACAAGTGAACAATGTACTGGAGAGGAGAGACTGGAGAGCCTTCCTGATCCGATCTTTGAAATGGGCATGACTGGCCACAGCTACAGTATCTACAATGCTGTCCATGTGGTGGCTCATGCTTTACATGACATTTCTTTAAAGAGATCCAAGTACAGTGAAATGCTGTGTCATAAAATAAAGGACCTTCAAGATCTGCAGCCTTGGCAGGTAATGTGCTAAAAATAAGTCCAGATTCTCATGTGAAACTAATTGTATAAAATGCTACTGTGGATTTTATTCCTTTGACATTACTCTTCCACACATTCTGGCCTGAAAAAGCATTTAGGTTTTTATCACTTATTGCAAAAGTGCTGATTTTTTTATTCTTGGAATTTGTTAATAAATATTAATAAACACTAATGGTAAAGAAGTGTTTTTGTATATCATGGCATTACATTCAAAATCTTTGTAACTCTCCCTCCCTTTTTGTCCTTATGTCTTTCAATTAGCTCCATGCTTTCCTTCTTGACTTTTCATTTAACAATTCAGCTGGAGAAACAATATCCTTTTCTGATAAAAAGAAATGGGAGGTGGATTTGACATCATGAACATGGTCATATTCCCAAACAAGTCCTTCCTTCGTGTGAAAGTTGGAGAAGTGGCTGATAGTGCTTATGAAGGAAAGAAATTCATCATTCATGAGGACATGATAATGTGGCACAAAGGTTTTAACCAGGTCAGCATCCTGAGGTATTTCTGTCACCTCCCATTTTCTCTAGATGTGTCCTGACAGAATAGCTGTTTCCCTGCATACTTCGTCTGCTTCTAATTGATAGTCATAGGAATAATCTGGCTATCTAGCACATCGAAAGCCTAAGTTCAACAGTGAACTGGCAGCAAACAATGGTATATTTCTGTATATTTTACCTTTGCCTCTTTTATAGATGGCAGATGTTCTGTGGGATTTTGATTAAATGTGTTAGCGATCCAGCACTGTGTTATCTATCTTTCTATTGCACAAGAGCCACACCTCAGTTGGAAGAATCATACTTGACCCACAAAGAGCAACTATTCCAGTCCTATGCCCCTCTAAGTAGCAATGGAAAAAATCAGCAACACCTAATGTTAGTGAGCAATATTTCTCAATGGTCAGACTATAGAAAAATTTGTATTCTATGCAGAAGTTTAAGGAACGCATTATTGTTGCTGGAATTGTTGGCATCTGTCTGTCTTGGGAGACAATGGAGGTAAAGTCATACTGTTGTAAGGTTAAAGCGCCTGGTGTGGCAGTAGAGACTGATAAAGGAGAGACTTGTTTAGTTATTGTTGGGGCAGATGAAGGCATCCGGTTGTGCTATTGAGGGGAATCATGCCGTTACTTCTCTCTGTGCTCCTCCCAGCGGTCATTCATCCTCTTGTTTATGCTGTGGATGCATGACCTTACTGCCTGCCATGGAATGAGTATATAAGAAATTCTGTAGGAGAACTTTTTTCGTAAAGTCTCCAACCTGAACCCCATCCTGTTTATGGATAGGTGATACCCATTTCTGTGTGCACTGAACACTGCCCTCCTGGTCATCAGAAGAAAAGGAAGGAAGGTGAAAAGTTTTGTTGCTATGATTGTGCTCCGTGTCCAGAAGGCAAGATTTCAGACCAGAATGGTACATGATATTGAAGTCGTTTTTATTTTAATGGCAAAGTATTTTTAATGGATATTGCCTAAGAGCTAATTACAAATGATTATTCACTATGCTGTGCATATCAGTAAGCTCTTCTGCTTGGTATGGGGTGCAAATATTTCTCAGTTGACGCCCAGTACCTTCTCAAAAACACTTCGATATACTAATTACCCTTGTGCAACCTTCATGGATTTGGCAGGAAGCCTCAATGAAGTCCAAATAATTTAGTTTTCTATATACTTTATTACATACTAGGCATATAATTGGCACATATTAATGATAATAATAATAAAATTGAGCTTGATATGATAATAACATGCATTGTTACATTATCATCTACTCACTAAGAATCAGCAGGTTCAAATTAAACAACTGTCACATGGAAGGCAAAGAAAGCACATTAATTGTCTTTGGAATTTGGCCTATCTGTTTGATATCTACTGGGAGGGCATTCCATAGGGCAGATGTGACTACTGAAAAGGCCCTTTGCCTGGTTCCCTGTAACCTTGCACTTTGCAATGAGGGAGCCTTCAGAAGGCCCTCGGAGCTTGATCTCAGTGTCTAGGCTGAATAACGTGGGTGGAGAAACTCCTTCAGGTGTACTGGGCCGAGGCCATTGGGGGATTTAAAAGCAGCACCAACACTTTGAATTGTGTTTGGAAATGTACTGAGAGCCAATGTAGCTCTTTTAAAACCAGTGTTATATGGTCCTGGCAGCTGCCCAATTCTAGATTAGGTTTTTCTGAGTCACCTTCAAAGGTAGCCCCACATAGAGCACATTGCAATCCAAGGGGGAGATAGCCAGAACACATACCAGCCTAGTGAGACAATGCGCAAGTAGGTAGAGTCTCAGTTGGTGCGTGAGATGGAGTTGGTAGACTAAGAAGGAGCAGGTTAAAATTAGATGACTATCATATAGATGGCAAATAAATCACATTAATCTCCTTTGGAATTTGACCTGTTTTTCAGATATAGATGACTGTTTCAGATGCCCAGAAGATCAATATCCAAACAGGAAGAGAAACCAATGCATCTCCAAAACTATTAGCTTTCTTTCCTATGAAGAACCTTCTGGGATCAGCTTAGCTTCTGTAGCTCTTTCTTTTTCCCTTCTCACAACTCTGGTGTTAGGCATTTTTGTGAAGCACAAAGATACTCCCATAGTCAAAGCCAACAACCGAGATCTCACCTACACTCTCCTGGTCTCTCTTCTGCTCTGCTTCCTCTCTTCTTTGCTGTTCCTTGGAAAACCTGGGGAAATGACCTGTCTTCTCAGACAACCTGCTTTTGGCATGATCTTCTCTATGGCTGTTTCTTGCATGCTGGCCAAAACGATCACTGTAGTTGTAGCTTTCATGGCCACCAAGCCAGGCTCCAGCATGAGGAAGTGGGTAGGGAAAAGACTGGCCTACTCTGTTGTAGTTTCCTGTTCTTTTATTCAATCTATTGTTTGTGCTTTGTGGTTGATGACATCTCCCCCATTCCCTGATGTAGATATGCAGTCTGTAACCACAGAAATCATTGTGCAATGTAATGAAGGGTCAGTGACCCTGTTTTATTGTGTCCTGGGCTACATGGGCCTCCTGGCCATTGCCAGCTTCATTGTGGCATTTCTTGCTCGCAGATTACCTGACAGTTTTAATGAAGCCAAATTCATTACCTTCAGCATGTTGCTGTTTTGCAGTGTTTGGCTTTCTTTTCTTCCAACTTACCTGAGCACCAAAGGGAAATACATGGTAGTGGTGGAGATCATCTCCATCTTGGCCTCCAGTGCTGGGTTATTGGGCTGCATCTTCGCTCCTAAATGCTACATTATTGCCTTGAGGCCGGAGTTGAACAACAAAGAGCAAATAATAAAGAGAAAGAATCAAAAAGAACCTTAGGGATTTTCCTTCACTGTTTTATTATATATGAAGTGGTGTTGTTTAAAATCGATGGCATTTTTACTACAGCCTCCCTATAGAGATTCTGCTGCTATTCCAACATCACTCCAACCTCATAGAACTTTCTCTATGCTTCAGACCTGGTGATCGGTGGAAATGAGCACAAAGGGAAGAACTGTATTGTGATGCAATATGAACATTAAAACACACCTTTCAGTGAAGAGTTGTATTCTGGTAGAATGTGAGCATTTATGAATTAATTGGAAGGTAGAATACAGGGTTACTGAATACCAAGCATATGACAAGAGTTTTCAGAGAGGAAATATTTAATTTCATCCTGATAGGAAACAGCCTGTGACTTTTTGTTGAACTCCAATTTGCTGTAACATCTAAATCATGAGAGGCTGTAAAACCCCTGGAGCAATGCCTGTATTGAAGGTGAATTAAATGAGGGCCAACAAGCTGATTTTCGGAGGGATGAAGAGAAGCCTAACTCATACAAAGTACAGAATTTACCTTTTATGAGAAGGTATTTGTGGAAGGCTTACTTCTGCAGAATGCCATAATGGGTAGGGTACTTGATGGCAGAAAAGCTAGTTTTGGCCTCTTCCTTCAAGCACGAGATTTAGGTTGGTGCGGACAATTGCCCCACACAGGGCACCAAGCTGAGGGGACTTTATACAGGTACTTACTGAGTAGATCCATAAAAGCAACTGTACTAAAAGGAACTACTGTGGAAATAAGAATTATTTAGGGAAGAGTGTTGTGAAATGTCCTTCTCCCTCAAGGTAGCATATTATCAAAATGTGCCCCTTCTGTTTCTCAGCTGTATATTGCTTGGTGTACATGCACTAGCCCCTTTCATGCATTAGCAGCCAGTGCAATTCTTTCAACAAGGGCATAATATGATGGTGTAATTCTGCTGCAGTGAGCAGTTGGGTCTCTACATTTTGTACCAGCTGCAGATTTGTGGTCTACCTCAGTGGCAGCCCTACATAGAGTGCATTAAAGCAGTAATCCAATCTGGAGGTTGCCAGAATAAATAAAAGACAATCAGGAGAACTCAAAAGCCTGAATGAACCATGGATGAAGGTGTTCTTGGTGATACACCTGATTTTTGCCACAAATTGCAAAATGTGTAGAGATTTGTTAGATTTCCAGTCCTTTATTAATTTCCAGTTGGGAACCACTAAGGGGCAGAGGTAACATGCAATCAGATTTGGGATAAACAAACCCAATCAATTTTGCTGATTACATTTAGACATACAACATAGAACAGTTACATAAAATGAGAATTAAAACAGAACAACAGCATGTGCTCAGAAAAGGTGTGTTAAAGTGTATATCTCAGAATTATTACAGATATGAAAGGATGTATAATAATTTTTATGCTTAGATTTTTGGCCTTTGGAAAAAAATATTTTGTATGAAAATCAATTTTAATTTAAAGGGATTTATAGGAATTTTTGTAGTGTGTAAGGTAGAAAAGGGAAAATTAAAATATATACTTCATGCATGTGAAACAGGGATGTGAAGTATAGGTAGAATTCTGCCATATGTCTCATAATTCGTATAATCAATAAAATCACTCCAAACTGCATAAAATTGTTATGTTTCTTTTCTCCTCCTGCTACTTTCATGGTTGTGTCAGTTTTTTTTCCAAATAATGCTGTTTGCCAAATTGTATTACACCATGGTTTTATACTCAATAATTGTAATTATTTCCATGCCTTGGCAACAGTTGTTATTGCAATGGTTAATAGATGTTTTATGAATTCTTTATTTCTAATCTGCAATATATCATGACAATAAAATTTTGTAGAGCTAGTCCTAGAGTCATGGGAGCTGTCTGCTTTGTAATTAAAGATATTTCTGTAAATACATTTTCTCAAAACCTTTCTGTTTTTGACACGCCCATCACATGTGCTGACATGTCCCTAATATATGTCCCTATCCAACATGTTGGTTACCAAAAGTGCCACTCTGGGCTAAAATGCTGAGAAAGTTATATCCTCAAGCAATTATGCAAATAATTATATTTAGTTCACTTGGTCAAAGCCCACGAGACTTTCTGGTAGGTACTTGTAAACAGTCAATAAGCCACCCTGGAAGTGGTTATAATAAATCACTCTTTTTGCCCCAGACAGCTGGCCATAGGGGCAAGAGGCAGGCAGAACCATGTCGCTTTTATTTATGAAATCTCCCCTTCTTCATATTATTGGCCAGACTTTAAATGAGTGGTGATAATTTTATCTACACATCAAGGCATGCATATTTCAGGCTTTGATTCAGCTCACAAGTCACTTTTTTAGATTTGCTGCAATTTGTAATTGCAGAGTCCAGCATAATCAATTCTAACCAGGATGGCATAATCAATTCTAACTTTCAGGATGTTGTTGCTATGGTTGTTCCTGTTTCTGCAAATGTTTGTTGAGTGCAAAATAGATGTTATCAGGTGTCCAATGAATGATCCATTTCCTATTCCACATGAGTGGTACCAACCAGGGGGCTTCATCATCGGTGGGATTTCTTCCCAAATCTTTCACATATTCAGCGAAGCTTTCTTCAAGAAACACCCTTCACAGAATCTCTTCGACGTTTCATAGTAAGAGTCTCCTCTTTACCCTACATTTCTCTCTAGTCTCTTTCCTTCTGTGTCATGCCCTTAGAATTGTACACCTGTTGGTTGAGACAGTTCAGTAACATTTGTAAGCTGCTGCCTAGTTTTTTGTATTGCGTATTTCCTTATTTTTCTATTATATTTTAACATAGTTCCTTTAAAATGTGTATGCTAGGCAAAGGTTCACACAGCAACTGTGAATTAGGCAGTTGCATTTATGTGAGGATTTATGGTCCATTTAAAATAAAGGCTACAGGGAAAATGTGAAAAAGTGAATTTAGGATTGGGAATGCAAGAAACGATAAAGCAAAAGGTGGTTTTGTCGAAGTACCATGCAGAACACAGATGCCCTGCTTAATCATCATTTTTCATCTACTGTCTGTTTTCTCTTAACTTAGAGCCATGAATTACAAACATCATTGTCTCATTTCAATCAAAATCAATTGGAATAAGAAATGGCCAAAACTGTGGTATACTCATTTTATGCATTGTAGAATTCCCTTCTGAAATTGTAAATTAATTAACTTCACTTGCAGCGTGGTGACAAAATTCTACCAGCACATACTTGCCTTGGCATTTGCTGTGAAAGAGATCAATGAGAACCCCACAATATTGCCTAATATCACTCTTGGGTTTCACATCTGTGATAGCTATCATGATGCAAGAATGACCTACCGTGCCACATTAGACCTGCTCTTCAAATATCATAGGTTTGTCCCCAATTATAAATGTGAGCTCCAGAAGAACCTTATGGCAATCATTGGGGGACTTAGCTCTGATACATCCTTCCATATGAGAGACAGCATAGGCCTCTACAAGATTCCACAGGTAGGATATCTCAATGGGATGGGTCTGGTGGGCAGATTTCCAAGATGAATAGACTCCTTATGGACCAAAATAATTGCACCTTCTGTAGAACTAATAAATATCTATTATTTATTTTTAAAATGTTATTATTAAATATAAAACAAGGATGAAGATGAGATTGTTTGGAAATGCTAGTGCTAGCTACCTAAATCTTACCTGCCAAAAATTGAGGGAGCATAGCAATGAAGAAATTTTTAACATCCTTCTCTGAGGGAACCAAAATGAAAGACTTACCCAGTTGGGGAAAACCAGAGTATCTTTATTATTTCAATATTCTACCCAACAAGCAGCGTAAATTGAAAGATGCTATTTGTGATATTATTTCCTTCCACTAGAAAAAATGTTCATATTTGTTGATTAAATAGTTGTTTAAACTGAAACCTCCTCCCCTAGTGCCCTTGTGACCAGATTATAAATTGGAATTCCATTTAGAGCTCATATAACCACTTTTTAAATTAAGCCTTACTGGTTGACAGTTTGCTTGCTATGGGAGGGGCCCTCTGTGGCAGCCCCTAAAATTTTGAATTATCTGCAGTGGGATGTCTAGCATCTTCAGTGTACTGTGGTACTTCAGTTCTCGAACGTCTCCGTTGTTGAACATATCTGGTTTTGAACATGCTTCCATTTTCAAATGCGCCTCAGAACTCGAACGTGCCATGTGGCCTCCGCTGAGTGTATGAAGCCATTGCAACCAATGGGAAGCTGCGCCTTGGTTTTTGAATGTTTTGGAAGTTGAATGGTCTTCAGGAATGGATTATGTTATAGAACCAAGGTACCACTGTGTAGTTAATACTAATTTGCCAGGTGCTCTTTAAAGACACACATCCTCACCCTAGCCTTTCACACCATGTATACATATGGACCAACCCTATACTATTGATTGTTATCCATCTTTCCATTCATTTCATTGTATGCCGCTTTTCCATAAACAGAATCTTGCTCAAAGCAGTTCATAACAAAGAAACAGGGATGCATTTCAAGCCAACACTTCAAAAACTATTTCATAATAACACACCAAAGCAATGCCACAAGAATAATGTCATAGCATAGCAAACAATAACAATATTATACCATAGCAAAAATAATGATATCAAAAATAATGACATACCAAAACCCACCTCATTCTGATGCTATAAATAAAACAAGATTACGTAGAAAACATTCAGCATCTAATAACAAAATAAAAAGGGAATTTCACAGTTTCCCCTTGGTCCAAAAACTTCTCTCCCATGATGCTTCTCACAGCCCCTCACCTGCAAAAGCTGCTTAATAGGCTTCCAAGGGCAAAGGGTGGGTAGCAGAAAACACTTCCCCA